TTATTACTATGCAGTCTTAGTTATAGGATTGGTATTATAATAGGGGCTCTGATCCTCGGATGAACTCGTTTTACCAGGTAAGAAGGTGGAGAAATAACCATTGGTTTTATTATTCTGATCTACATTCACCGTGTGTATGTGTGTGAATGTATTTGTGCTTACCTGTGTTTTATACCATATACATTTCATGTCTAATGTCTATGTGTTTTAAAAATATATAAAAAGGGTCCTAACAATTAGCAGGTCGGTCATTTTACCGCTCAAATTCCCTGGTTCCAGTATCCAGATGGGATCCACCACTTTTGCCCCCTTTCGATCGTATCTTGATTCGCACATAGTGCGCTTACTGATGAAGCGGATTTAAAATCGCAAAATATCACCAAAATGGTAGACTTAATGTTCCATTACTACCATAGCGTAGAACTACACTTTTGGGAAATTTATCAAACATGATAAGCTTCTCAGGGTTTTATCCGATTTTGAAATTAGCGTAATGATAGTCAAATGTCGTTAATCGTGTTTGCACCTAGATAATCAGTTCGCATTTTTTATGTAAAAATTTCAGCCGATACTTATTAGAGTCAAAAGTCCACATTTTTTACTTCACAGGTTTGCGTCTGCACGTAAACTAATTGTCTACATAATTTAAAGCAACAGTGAACCTTCGATTTTAAAGACATAATTGATAAATAATTTCATTCCTAATTTTTTCTAGGCTAGAAATATGAATCACTAATGATGATACGAACTTAGATTTGATGGCCAGCCAACCCAATTCTGTTTCAGGCTAGATTTAGAGGAATACCTACGAACGATTTGTACCCAATGTACGGTGGAATGATGCCGAATGGAATGATGGCTAATGGGATGATGCCGCCCACACAAAACATGATGCCGCAGTACGGCTGTACACCCATGTATCAACCTGGAATGATGTCAACACCCACGATGCAGCCAATGGTTCCCTATCAGAACGGAATGATGAATTATCCCTACCAGGCTGCGGCTACTCCTCAAGTCTGTACCTCACAGATGAATCCTTCGGCTACACCGACCCCTGTCTTCCAGTTTCAAATCACACCTGGGAAAAATTCTGCAACGATGCATGGTAGGAAGTGATCTATGTCAAGACCTTGCACACTTTCAAATTAAACTGACTTATAATTGACACATGATGAACGGAATTTGTGGTTTTCTTTCTGCTATATCTTTCTTAATTTCATTGTAATAGTAGGGTTTTATCTTTCTCTTGTTCAATACGGCTGTCAATTTAATTAAAGACACTTAAATTACGTAATTAAACCAATTGTGTGGCAGAAAATGTGTCCATTATGACGATGCCTAAAGCATAAGAAAAAGGGTTGCTTCTTTGTATTTGAATGTTGTCAAAAACGACTCGAATGTAATGCAAATGTTTCCTGGTCAGTTTTATTTAATCAAAAGTGTCAAGTGTTGATTTTTCGCATTTTTCACACACAAACGTGTCAAACTGCATTACTTTAAGCTAATTATAACTATTTTTAGATGCTATTTACTAATTTGTAGGCTGAAGAAGGAAATATCAGGAATGTTATTCGCCAGTGCTCAAAGTCACTAAATGCTACAAATACATTTCAAAATTCTCACATAAATTGTCCCTACTGTTTTGCGGAAACACCTTTCGGATTTATCTTGCCTTGCTTAATTCCAGCCTTTGGGTGTTACAATCGGAACTTTAAAATAACGGATTTTTAACAACCTGCTTCCAATGGCTATCAACACACTGAATACTTTCTTGTCTAGAATATCGAAAAAACCTTAAACCTCCTCTCCTTACGTTAGACAAAACCTTGTTTAAAGGTTCAAATGGGACGTAGCGACGAAATAAATTATAGCCATGGCAATGTTTATTTGCTAGACAGTCTATCAACAAAAGCATGAAGTGAGTTTTATGACTCATTATTTCGGTTGCTCGGAAACCGTTAGTTAAAAGTACTGTTACAATAAATATGCAAAGATGAAAGAAGCACACAAAAGACAATGTATTTGTGTCTTAAGGAATTCTTTAGTCTCGCATTAACTTGCCGAAAGCGCACATTTGAAACATTGTACAGGCAATATTAATTTTTATGAGGCTTAAAAATGCTGCACAACTTCAAATGTCTGCTTCTGACTATTAAATCAGTTCCTTCATTTCAGTGATAAATCAAAATATATTGTTCCACATCAACAATGTTTGCTGTAATTGTCAGAACTAAACTAGAATGCCACAATTAATTATGTCTGTTGACGGAACACTCTAAGTGACAGGAACTTTGTTTGTTTTTACTGTGTACGTTAAGGGGTTCAGAAATAAAACTGGCTAATTTGAACCGATCGCTTCTAACCCCACAGAAAACATACCCTATTGAACTTGTGCCCTAAACATTCGCACATGAGTGCTTTCAACCAAACCGAACAAGCATTTTCTATGCAGGTTCAAGCTACGTTTTTCCTTCACACTCGAACGCATTTTTCGCAGATTACTTGGATCTATTGATAAACAATAAATTATTGAATCAATTTGAACAGTAAAAGTTGTTGGTGATTGATCTGATTATGGGATCATTATGTGATTCGGATTATGCAGTCATGTTAGCGACAACCAAACTCATTTAAAGCCAAATTAACTGTCGCCAGTTTGGTTTCGCACTTCGCATGGGGCAGTTTAAAATGAGCAGTGTTTTAGAATGACAAGCTAGCCAAAAGGTCATGTGGCAGCACCATCGACTCACATTAACCACAGTTGGTTAAAATTGTGCAGGAATAAAAATGGCTTCTACTCGAGGGAAATCCATAAAAAATTCAGTCAGTCTATTAAGTTGCATAATCGAAAGGTTGCATTCACGTCAACAGAAAATCTACAGAGGGGATTAGGGAGTGAGGAATCAGGCAATCGTGCGACTTTTGTTAATCTATGATTAAATTTGTGGAAGAGTCTCTACCAATGTGCATGCGCGAGTTCAAGCCTTACCAACAAACGAGTCTTCAAAAAGATGTGCTATGCTGTTTTTCTATGTCCGAAAAGGCCTCATTTGTGGTTATCTAGGCGTTACTTAAAGTCTGTGCCAAGTGGCTCATCAACAAGTTTTAACATTTTTTACCCTTGGTTACGCGTCACAGGAACATTCCGATACTACGTAAAACACAAAGAGTCGGTTTTTACGCTTGTGTTATCAAGTCATTACGTAATTCGGACATTCAGACTTGCTATAAGAAATGGAGGAGAGACTCGTTTTAATCTCAACTGGTTCATATTTCTGTTCCAAGGTCATCATCTGCAAGGTCGCCAATACCTATGAAAGTCCGCAATGAGTCATTGATTCACCAGTTTATTGTTGATTTTCTAATTATGCAATAAATTATTCTGTGTTTATTCTATTGTATAACTGGATGCTGATGCTAATTAAACAGCATTTAGGGAGTGAATTAAGATCAAAAATATGAAAACTCGATGTTCCCTCCAGCCATTAATTTAAACATTAGAACTTACCGCTCGTGAATTTCCAAAGTAAAGGCAAGGTAAAGGACAATGTGTCGAATTACTACTGAATTTGTGAAATAATCAACTAGAATAAATTAACGCATATAAAAAGTTTTAAGGAATTAAGAGAAAACCATTCTACTTCTGAGTAAATTTCAGCACAAACCCATAAGGTACTGAGTATTTATGTCCGATTTGGTTTTAAAGCTGAAACCTGTACAACTAAACACGCCGTTGTGAGTAAATTTTTGCACATTCTTTTTGATCGTTGAATCGACTTTGTATTGAAAATAAAGGACTATAAGGCGGACTGCAGTCTTCAGCAATTTGGCAATAAAATTCATTGTTTGTTCAAAATGCTTCAATTTTGATAGCAACATTTTAAACACCAGCCAAAATCACCTCTTGCCAGAGTTAATCTTTAATTTTCGTTAGTCTGCGACGTAGTTCTAGGGGTGCAAACTCAGAAGAATCGGACCACAGTCAAGAACATGCTTGTACTTTGCAAAGGGTTTATAGCGATGTTATAAGGCCAATAGCGAAAGTATTAAAGTCATCTACTGATGTGATGGTTATTTTTTTTACTAAACTAAAAATATTTATGTTTGGTGATGGATTAGTGCGTACCTCATTAAATTCTCGACAAATAATGTCTTTGTGCAGCCTTCAAAATTTCCATATAAACAGAAATATTTACCCATCTGAACTCCCATTCTTATAAAGGAAGGTTACCAAGGGAATTGTACCCAGAAATCTAAATGCGACTGATCTAAAACTATGAAAATTGTAAATTAGGCTACTGTCTCTGAAATACTTAATCCAGAAAATCGATTACAGACTGAAACTGTTGAAAAGAAGACGTCATTTTGCAATACCTTAAAGGTAAATCACCCAATTATAGGTCTGTTGGCAGAAACATGTGTCGCAGATGCAAAAGGCAGCGGTCTTATGAGGGGCCCATAATGGCTGCTCTTAATTTAGATGATCAAAGGTATGGAGAGAAGTGCGCATAACTTCTGGATCTTGGTAGGCATCGAGTAAAAGTACAGTACATTGGCATGGATCTGCCACGTGATAGGGTTATGTCAAGTAAAAAGTAATCGTCTTTTGATGACACATTTTAGATTAAAAAAGACGGAATACGTAACTTGGAGTATTTTCATTGCTTACTCCGAATCTGACGAAGCAGTTCTCAAGCACTCTTTAGAGCTATGTGTTTTCATTTTGACATAGTCAAATTCACAAAATATGAGCCAAATTTCCATTAATGTGTGCATGTGTGACGTACATTTAACATGTGCAACACCACAAGACCATTGATGCGTCTCTGACTTGATCAATTTAAACATGCCTCTTTCCCTGAGTGTAAGGCTGACGACCCAAAGGAAAGCGGTAGTGATGCACAAACGCGCATACACTTTCCCTGGCAAATTAATTAATTAATTAGTGCATTCCTACAAGATGATTAACACTTGGCATAACCGTACTCAGGGTCATTTGCTGTCAGCCTATTGACTAACTTTTAGCATTTAGTCGGAATTAATCAGTGAAAGAAATTTAGCGCCTAGCTGCATCATAAACCACTAGAAGCATTTTGTAACACGATTACACTTTCTGTTGTTGGTAATAATTAGATTTTGAATTTACCAATTAACCAATCTCTCTTCTCTTGGTAGATCTGATAAACAAGGCAATAAATTTTAGCTGTTAGAGACCATCCTTATTCTGACAACGGGATTCGGCTCAATTGATGCTGTAGAGCAGTGAGAGGTAATCTATCCTTAGACCAAAATGGTTCAGTTTTTGTAACTAAGGTAAAGTTGTAACCACAACTACCGAAATTTATAATATAAACAAGTACGCGTAAATTCTTATTGGCTTCAAAATTGAAGAGGGTGCTGGTTAACGATTACATTTTTAACAAACAGATGAAATTTACATTAATCAGCACATTACAATGGACTGCAAAATGTCACGACCGAATGTTGAATCCAATTTATTAATTCGTCGGTGACATTTTACTCTGTGTGTGGTGGCTATGGTGCGGATGCTGTAGACTAATTTCCTGTTAGGTTATGAGAGGTGGTTAAATTTGGACCCACCTGGAGGTTCCTAAGATAAATTACGTTAACTTTAAAACATCATTGGCAACAGGAGGTGCGTGCAGTTTAGCGTTTTCCTAATTGGACACATTTAAATGACACAAATTTAATTACGTTTAAAACAAAATAGTTTTCTGCTACGGATACTGACGTCCTATTAAACAAGCCTCTGGTAACTTTTGTAAACGAATGCTCCGGCGATCTCTTTGACTTCGGTTATTTTTCTACCTGTAAAGCTGAGCTGAGTTGGGACTAATGATTGAGTAAACGGAAGCTTTTAAATTTAGTTGCATAAATTAAGCTAAACTTTGTGCTTCCTGAAATCAAGTGTTACTTAAGTAAGAATCCAATCTTAGCGGTGGATGTTAGACTAATGTCAAAACACACCAGCACTCCTTTAATGATCCAACAAATAACAAAATTAGCTTCCTCTGTCAAGTTTTCGTTGAAACATTATTTTTCTTTTGTTAAATGTGCGACAAGAAACTACTTCAACTTCACGCGATCACGGTCAA